AAGCAAAAACTTAACCAAAAAATTTAGGCTCGACCTGAGCCGGGGCGGCTCGAATTTTTTTTTCTTTTTTTGGCAGCCTTGCTGCCTTAATCTTAAGGCAGCAGGTTGTTGCCTTAAACAAGGCAGCAACCTGTTGCCTTAACACAATTAAGGCAGCGTGTTGTTGCCTTATAATTTTTATTTATTTTTATTTTTTTTAAATATAGGGCTCACGAGCCACACGGGCCGGTTCAAGCTTTGCCCGGCATCCTAACATGGGGCTTAACTTGAGCTTTGGCTCAATTCTCACGAGCCTCGAGCAGAGCGGGCTCGAGCTTTTTTTTCCGAGCAGAGCCATGGGCGGCCCGAGCCGACGAACCTAATTGCCATCCCTACTAAACAGTGATCACAAATTCCACTCCATAATCAAATTACTTAAAATGCAAGACCCATCTATATATACATATATAAACGGACGGCCATGGCCACAACCACAGTTCGTAAAGCAAGAACAATTAAATTGTCCAAGGTGCCATTCTACAAAAACCAAATTCTGTTATTACAATAACTACAGCTCAGCCACGCCACTTCTGTAAGAGCTGTAGATAGGGATGTAAACAAGTCGGGCTGAGCCGGCTCACTAGCTTAAAGTTTTAGCTCGGGGTCGGCTCGGTTAAAATGGCCGAACTTTTTTGCGTCACAAACATTTTCGTCACAATAAAAGATTTGTAGTTCTCAATTAAACAAATTATATTACAGTGGTTTTTCCATCCTCATGCTTCCAGATTAGCTGGTTGTAATAGTTAACTGATCAAGTTTGATTAATTGGTCATTGTATATTTGTACTCACTAGTATTGAAAAGCAAAACAAGAATTACTTGAAAAATAAAAAAAAATTCTTTAATCATTAAACAAAAATCTTTACTAGTTGTTCACGTATATGTTATAATCAATAAAGGGATTTATAATACACCCAAATTCGAAAATCAATTTCTTATCTTGATTTGAATCAAGAACTTTCAGCTCTTTCGATTACAAACTTCCAACTTTTGATTTTAGGAACGTGAAGCTTCTAACCTATTAGCCTTTTATAATGCTTTCCAAAGTGTAGACTATACCCATCTTCGTACATCCTTTAATTAAATTAAAAATTCAATTCTAAATTGGTTGGAACAAGACAGAATCAAAAGAACAAGAAAATTATTTTTCAATAATCATGTCTAATCTATCATAAACCGTCCAATTTATATTAGTCATCGTGTTATTAAAATTATACGACTAGATTATTAAAATATATAAAATCACTGGAGGTAAAATATTTGCAATATTTTCCTTTAACCTACTATACATGTATTTCATCCTTGTTTGAAATCCAATAATTTGGTATGGACAAATATGATCATTTTGCTCCTCTAATTAATCTAATTAACTTAGATTCAATATTCTTCAGTGATCCTATAAATTAATCATAAACGTGGGAGACTAGTCGTCGTTAAATAATAGGAATGTCAACAAATCGAGTTGAGCCGGCTCGCGAGCCGAAATTCAGAACTTGGCTCGGTTAAAACGAACAAGCTTTTTTTTGGGCCCGAGCCGAACAAAGCAAAAACTTAGCCAAAAAAATTAGGCTCGACATGAGCCGAGGCGGCTCGAATTTTTTTTTTTCTTTTTTTGGCAACCTTGCTGCCTTAATCTTAAGGCAACAGGTTGTTGCCTTAAACAAGGCAGCAACCTGTTGCCTTAACACAATTAAGGCAGCGTGTTGTTGCCTTATAATTTTTATTTTTTTTATTTTTTTTTAAATATAGGGCTCACGAGCCATACGGGCCGGTTCGAGCTTTGCCCGGCATCCTAACATGGGGCTCAACTCGAGCTTTGGCTCGATTCTCACGAGCCTCGAGCAGAGCGGACTAGAGCTTTTTTTCCGAGCAGAGCCATGGGCGGCCCGAGCCGACGAACCTATTTGCCATCCCTACTAAACAGTGATCACAAATTTATAATCGTTCAACATAAAATACTTAAGTAGTTACTCGACCTACTTTTAAAGGCGACAATTTTCAACATGGATTCGTGTTCTATACTTTGTTCATTCTCAAATCCTATCCCATCGAAATATTGGATCAATCAAATTGACATCATCCTTTGGTAAAAAAAAAAATTAATAAAAAAAAATTATATACAACTTCATCCATGGATTTAAATAAAGTACTCGATGATCAAGTAATATTTAATGCTTCGCATGGTCATACGATATAATTAAACTCGACATGTGTTCTACTCAATATACTCCAAGTTTACTAATATTCTCATTGAATTATTTTTGTGATAATGACAAATTACAATCCCGAATAAAAAATTAGTCAACACTAAAACATACCATACAATGTGTCAAACTTTATATATTAGTTGTAAAATATTTTTCTTATTAAATATAAGTTGTGTTACATTGTACTTCTCATTGCAAGCATTCAACTTATATTATTACAAGTGATTATTAACTCTTTTATACACATGCTAAATATTATATATGATCGTTTGGTTTCCATTATTTTCTCATTAAGATGAAAAATATGATTGTTATCCATTACCTCAAACCACCAAATTTGAATTTTTATCTCTTGTATGGGGTCGTAACGATTATATTTTTCATTCTCATTCTTCCAAAAATAAGAAACAAACGAGGGCATAAAATGCAATAAATTAAACAAAGAAAAAAATTATTTATTTCAACAAAATTGTGCTATATGTTCATACAACCCAAGAGAGAATTCCTTAACAATTTTTTTGTAGAATCAAGCAGTGGTACAACCTTTACCACCAAGCCTAGTGGCAGCAAAGAAACCAGAGACCGGTCAACACTAAAACATACCATACAATGTGTCAAACTTTATATATTAGTTGTAAAATATTTTTCTTATTAAATATAAGTTGTGTTCCATTGTACTTCTCATTGCAAGCATTCAACTTATATTATTACAAGTGATTATTGACTCTTTTATACACATGCTTAATATTATATATGAGCGTTTGGTTTCCATTATTTTCTCATTAAGATGAAAAATATGACCGTTATCCATTACGTCAAACCACCAAATTTGAATTTTTATCTCTTATATGGGGTCGTAACGATTATATTTTTCATTCTCATTCTTCCAAAAATAAGAAACAAACGGGGGCATAAAATGCAATAAATTAAACAAAGAAAAAAATTATTTATTTCAACAAAATTGTGCTATATGTTCAAACAACCCAAGAGAGAATTCCTTAACAATTTTTTTGTAGAATCAAGCAGTGGTACAACCTTTACCACCAAGCCTAGTGGCAGCAAAGAAACCAGAGACCGTGACTTGTGTGAATTTTTACTGTCTTTGGGTTCAAGTCCACATGGATTTTGATACTAATCTACCAACAAGAATTTAACCTAATCTAAATTCAACCTTTTTGATGACTCTAAAGCTTGTATATGTGTTCTAGGAGGATGTATGGAAAAATTCATTCGCTATCTGCCATTTTGCTTAAGATAAACGAAGCCGATGCTTCGATGGAATAAATTGCAAGTTCAAATAGTTCGTCTGAAACTATTTAAAATTAGCAATTATATAAGACTTGACGAAGAAATCTGTGCAATTGAGGATGTATGAGAAAGAGAGACAAGTCATGTGCGAGCTAATAGAAAACGACTTCTCATTGTCACATAACATTACAAAAAATCAAGGAGCATTGAGCTCCTCGAGAAGTTCCTCACCAAATAATTTTAATAGTGATACAAATCATTCTTACTTTTTCAAGAAAGCACCCAAAAATAAAATTAAAAAATAAAAAAAATTCAATCAAACAAGCTAACGGTTAGTAGACTTTCCATCTTAAAGATGTCACGATTAGCATCGAAAAAAGTTCTAAAAATTATATTGAAAAGTTTCTTGTAAATTTTCTCTTAAATCAATTTATCATATTATACTGAAAAGTATCTAATCGAGTGCTTGTTTAGTAGGATTTTGATAATAAATTTTTTAACCGTTAGAGATAAAGTGAGTCTTATCTATAAGAGAAGAATTCAAAAATGACGAATAAAATAGTGAAATAACGATAAAAAAAATTGATTTTAATTGGATTAAAATCCCTAACAAACAAGGAGTCTCTCATGCTACCATCATTATTGTGCTTAACAACTTTTCACTTTGTCTAAAGATAAACGAAGCCGATGCTTCGATGGAATAAATTGCAAGTTCAAATAGTTCGTCTGAAACTATTTAAAATTAGCAATTATATGAGACTTGACGAAGAAATCTGTGCAATTGAGGATGTATGAGAAAGAGAGACAAGTCATGTGCGAGCATATAGAAAACGACTTCTCATTGTCACATAACATTACAAAAGATCAAGGAGCATTGAGCTCCTCAAGAAGTTCCTCACCAAATAATTTTAATAGTGATACAAATCATTCTTACTTTTTCAAGAAAGCAAAAAGTAATCAATCAAACAAGCTAACGGTTAGTAGACTTTCCATCTTAAAGATGTCACGATTAGCATCGAAAAAAGTTCTAAAAATTATATTGGAATAAATTATACTGAAAAAGTGTCTTGTAAATTTTCTCGTGAATCAATTTATCTTCTCATAGTGTCTTGTAAATTTTCTCTTAAATCAATTTATCTTCTTATACTGAAAAGTATCTAATCGAGTCTCTCATGCTGCTATCATTATTGTGCTTAACAAATTTTCACTTTGTCTAAAGTGAATCAATTATTTTAACATTTAGCCCATTGAAAATAAATTTAGTACAAAATATTTTTTTAAAAAAATACGATTAAAATGTAAAAATATATATTTTTTAAATTTATGTGTAAAAATGATTGAAAATAAATTTAAGAAAAAAATTAATTTTGAAGAATGAGACTAAGTTTTAATGAAGTATATAATTTTGTTTCTCCAACATGGTTATTAGATCAATTATTCAATAAATTAATTTCTATTTGAAATTGAAGAAATTATTTTCTCCTTATCTAAACCTGATATCCCACCTTTAAGTTCTAACCTAGGCAAACATGCTCCAAGTCTAGCCCATTCTTGAATACAAACACAAATCTCTCTCCAAAAGAGCCCAATTTCATCTCTGATTAGATACCAGAATTATGGGTCAGGGCACTCCCGGCGGATTGAATCGCCAATTTCCCGGAGATCGGAAGAATGATGGCGACAAGAAAGACAAGAAATTCGAGCCACCGCCGGCGCCTGCTCGTGTAGGCCGTAAGCAGAGGAAGCAAAAGGGATCCGAGGTGGCGGCACGGGTCCCGACGGTGACGCCACTGTCCAAGTGCAAACTGCGGCTGCTAAAGCTCGAAAGAATCAAGGACTATTTGTTAATGGAAGAAGAGTTCGTAGCAAATCAGGAAAGGTTGAAACCCCAGGAAGAGAAAACAGAGGAGGATCGATCGAAGGTCGATGACCTGCGTGGGTCCCCCATGAGCGTTGGGAACTTGGAGGAGTTGATTGATGAGAATCACGCCATTGTCTCGTCGTCTGTGGGGCCAGAGTACTACGTCGGGATCTTGTCCTTTGTCGACAAGGATCAGCTCGAACCTGGCTGCTCGATCCTCATGCACAATAAGGTATTCTTTGATGTTTTGGTTTTGTAAATTAGGTTTTTTGTATTTTAGAGCTGGGGTTTGAGAGTTTGGGTTTCTGGTCAAAATTTGGGGTGATTTAGAAGTAGTTTAAAGGATAATTGGAAATTAGTTATTTGGAATTTATGGTTAGCACTAGCTAGCAAAGTATGTTTGGAGGACAGGGTTGAGAGGTGAGGAAAGGGAAGGTAGGGTTCCATTGACGTTTGGCTAATACTGGTCTTGAATGTTTGGAGGACAGGGTTGAGAGGTGAGGAAAGGGAAGGTAGGATTCCATTGACATTTGGCTAATACTGGTCTTGAATGTTATTAGTTAATTTTTGATGGTTAAACTGTTATTTTATCTACATTAGATCAATAGAAAAAGTGAATCTATGCTGTTTTAAGTACATGTAGACTCTGGTTCTTGCTTATTGTGGGTTTTTAGTGTTTGTTTCTTTGTTCATTGAGTAAGTAATTTGGAATTTATACTCTGCAGTTGTTACATGGAAGGTAGAGCTTATCTTATATTGTTGGAGAGCTTGTGAAGTCAAAATGGAAATTTTTTTTTATCTCCGTTAATTTTTTTGGTACCAATTAAAATCTAGATTTCAATTTAATTCAAAGTCAGCAATTCATTTCAACCACATATCTTTTGGGTCCCACAACTTTTCTACCACACATTTCATCAACTTCTATCAAAATTTACTCAAAATTCCCTACCAAACAGGGGTAGTGTTTCACATGATTAGTTGATTCACTTTCCATTTGTCAAGGACTTGTCACAATGGTATTTGGACAAAATTTAAGTAGACGTGGGGAATGCTTATAAAGTTCAGCAATGGGTTAAGAGAGTCTCAAATAGTCTTTGACGGCATTTTGTTTGTGACTTTTGATGGATGGGAATGACCTTCAGGTCATATGAAAAACTTGTAGGTTCCAGGGATTTGGAGCAAGCTTTTGCTGGTTTCGCCCCACAAGTGACAGAATCTCTAATTGTTTTATTTCTTTTTCTCGTGTATCTATTTACTTAGCCAGCATTAAAAATATAGCATATTGGTAGGAGTTTGAGTGTTAATTTTAACCATGTTCATATTCTGTGTAATGTGAGAATCGAGATACATGCTGGCTGATATTTGATGCTATTAGTGTGATATGTGCATGAAGGTTTTGCTACAACTCACTTTAAGACTTTTTTGGCATTGGATTCTTCAAGTTTCTTTTTTACAAGTTCTTTTCTAATTGGAATCACAAGATTCACAACTTTATGTTAATGATTAACTTAACTAAAATGTGGGATGATCATTTGTATTGGTTTGCATGATCTGGTCAGGATCATTTCAAACTATTGCAAGTGATTTTACATTTAAATTTTCCAAGATCTATAATTACTTTAACATTCATTGCATTTTATGTCTAAATACATTTCTGATTTTTGATTGTCATGATATTTTGTAGAAAACCTTGATTCTAGTATGTATGAATTTTAACCTTTAAATCAAGTGGATGCGCTCTCTCTCATCTACATTGCCTACTCACATCTTTACCATCCAATTCCCTAACTAGGGACAGGAAAGTGTTGAGGTTGGATAACAGGGTGAATTTAGCAGAAGGATGGGACATGTGGTCCTCATAGTTTTGCATTTTGTGGTTGTGTACTCATGAAATTTCATTAGTAGAATCATTTACTCAATGAGTTGAACTTGTTGGAGTAAGATGTCATATTATTTGAAATCATGTTTCATTTAAATATTGTAATAAAAACAATTTCTAAAAATCATTATGTCAAAATAAATAAGAGATAATTCTATAATCATGGGAATTTGGAGCCAGTTTGTTATTTGATGAAGGTTGGGAGGAAGCTGTAAATTCTTGAAAAATAGTTGTAGTACAACTGTACAAGGTTGTCTTAAGATATAAAATTGCATTTGTGTGTTTACCACCTCGAAGAAATGTCTATAACAATTATGCATTCAAGAAATTTCAAAACTCCCTGCCTTGTATGGAAAAAAAAAAAGGATGCTTTGAGAAGAAGATGCACCCCATCCCCTCCGCCCCCAAAAAAAAAAAAAAAAAAAAGGAAAAAAAAAAAAAATTGAAGTGAGAAAAAGGGGTATGTCTAACAATGATTCTAGTTTATCAACAAGTTTTGTACATTGTACCTTCTAAAGTAACTTTAATTTATTTCAGGTTCTTTCTGTTGTTGGACTTCTTCAAGATGATGTCGACCCCATGGTTTCTGTAATGAAGGTCGAAAAGGCACCATTGGAATCTTATGCTGATATTGGTGGGTTGGATGCCCAGATCCAGGAGATTAAAGAGGCTGTTGAGCTCCCATTGACTCACCCTGAATTATATGAAGACATTGGTATCAAGCCTCCCAAGGGGGTCATACTGTATGGGGAGCCTGGAACGGGAAAAACATTGCTTGCAAAGGTTTGTGTAGTTATACTTTTTTTTTCAGAATTCTGAACTGAGCATATATATTTGTACGTTTGACATGCCGTCTGTGATAGATGTAACTCTTGTATGCTAATACTGGCTTTATCCTGAGCATCTGAAATTTGTAAAATTTTACTCATTCTAGGACATGGGGGAAAATATTTTATGCCTTTAATTCTTGTAATTATTATGTTTTCCTGAGATGGACAATGCAAGATATAGCATTTTGTTAGAAGAACAGAATAAGGAAGAAAAAAGATACCATGATGAAACTTGTAAGTCTAATTTACATAGCATCGTAGGTGTTGCCATGGGTTTGATCAAGTCCTTTCACTTCATATGATCTTTGATATGTGACTATTCAAAAATGTTGGATGCTGAAAGTGATATAGTCTTATAAACCTCATTTTTTAATGTTCTTCAGGCTGTTGCAAACTCTACATCAGCAACTTTCTTGCGTGTTGTTGGAAGTGAATTGATCCAAAAATACCTGGGAGATGGTCCTAAATTGGTGAGGGAACTCTTTAGAGTTGCTGATGATCTCTCCCCATCTATTGTCTTTATTGATGAAATTGATGCAATTGGTACAAAAAGGTAATCTTCTGAACGTTCTTAGCCTGGAAGTGTACCGTTGTAGATATATTTTTATTAGTGAATGCTATGTACAGGTATGATGCTCACTCAGGTGGTGAACGTGAAATTCAGAGGACTATGCTGGAGCTTCTGAACCAATTAGATGGTTTTGATTCAAGAGGAGATGTTAAAGTAATTCTTGCAACAAATAAAATTGAAAGTCTTGATCCTGCTCTGCTTCGACCTGGCAGAATAGACCGGAAGATTGAATTCCCTCTTCCAGATATTAAGACTAGGAGGCGTATTTTCCAGGTGAACAGCTGTTTGTACACATCGAAGGAGTATTGCATAAGGTCATCCCAGTGAAACGTTTTTAATGATAGTCCACTTAACTTACTGGACCTTTCTTATGTAGATACACACATCGAGGATGACATTGGCAGATGACGTTAACCTAGAAGAGTTTGTTATGACAAAAGATGAGTTTTCTGGAGCTGATATCAAGGCAATATGTACTGAAGCTGGATTGCTTGCTTTAAGAGAGCGCCGTATGAAGGTGAGTCCCTGATATTCTGATAAAAGTTTTAAATTGTAGCTCTCATCAGTGTGGGGGAGGATACGCATAATCGTTTAGAATGCTAGTACTCTAATTTTGGCTTACAATCTAGATTTGCGATATGTGGTCTTTAGTGATGAGCAGCTGGTATGAAAATATTAATGATGCACAGCAATAGTTTTAGCTCTTGCACTGGCAAATCGGCATGGTAAAAAGGTCTAGAAACTGAGTGAGGAAACGTGGTAGAGGTAGGTTGACATGGATTAAGAGAGTAAATAGGGTTGTACAGCCTTATATTTGTTTGAATGCCTTGCATGTTTGCTTCCAATACATTATTGAGTAAAAGAAATGTCAATGCATTCTGTTGCAAAGAGTTATTTTAATTAAGTTTTGCAATGGAAACCAAATGGGTTCCATTAATGATGGATACAATAGAGAAAATGTTGAACTATTTACTTTTACTCGGGGCGGAGCTAGTGGGGGGCGGGGATGGGCTATAGCCCTGCCTATCCCACCCTATATGGATAATTAAGCCCCCATTTGGCCCCCATTTTTTTCAAATTTTAATGTTTGAAATATTATTTTTTTATTATTAAGAATGTGTGGTTGAAAAAGAATGAAAAATTTACGTGTAATATTATTTTATGGAATATTGTATGGTTGAAAATAAGAGAGATAAAAAAAAATGAAAGAGAATGGGGGGGGGGGGGGGGGGGGCAAACGGGGACTAAGAATAAGTTGTTTAATTTTGACCCAAATATTTGTGTTAGTCCAGCTCTAATTTGAATTCTAACTCAAGCCCAGCTCTACAATTATTAAATATTATTTTCATCGCATTCATGAAACGTGAATATCTTATTTTCAAATTAGGCATTTTATTTAATGCACGTTTGACTAAATTTCCTTATAAATAAATTTTATAATAGATGATTTGTACTGATCACATCTAAAAATTAATTATTTTAATAATTAGAGACACTATGTCCTTGTTTGTTAGAGATTAAAATCTGAATTTTATCTAAGTCAAAGTCTATAATTAATTTTAATTACATATATTATGGTATATTTTACTTTTCATATATTACTTACTCATACTTATAAGAAAAAATTACTAATTTTGACCATGAAATGGATATTGTCTTCAAAATAAATAACTTGCTCTAAATTTGATCTTGTAATTAAAAAGAAAATTTGTTAAAATTTGTTTACTTATGGATTAATCTATATGAGTATATTTTTGAAACTCAGCCAAACATGGACATGAATTAAGTCTGATTTTTTTTTTTTTTACCTTAATAATTCTTAGTCGATTTTTCTCACTTAGGATGTGATTCTTCACTCACTATGAAATGAAGTGAAGTAAAGATTGTTGTCCACAACAAATAGCATTTTTGAGATAATAACATATATTGATGTATTGTTGATTGGGTGCTTCGATCAAACCTTTTAGTTATTTGAAAAGATTGATCGTTAAAGTTATTTAGAGCAATATTCATTAAATATTTTGTAAGTTTTTTATTGGTGGATATGTATCCTTCGCTTATTTCGATCACGATTCAGTTAATTTATAATTTTTAAGGTGAGCGTTGGTTTTTTATTCGGTAAGAGAAGATAAAAATTTCTAGTGGGACATCTTAGAATGAGACATCTAGACTTCTTTTATTTCATTAAGTGTCAACTTGTCGTACACTCTTTGTCATGAATGTCATGAGTTCAGCCTCATGTGGTGCGAGTTTATTCGAAATTGCACATCCTAATATCATTTTCTAGCTCCTCCCCTGCTTTTACTGCAGAAAAGTTTTTCCTGTAGAAGTTCATGTGCTGTGTATCTTTTCTTATTTTTCTTGGTGACAAAATCTTTTAGATTTGGACATTCTTTATTCTATAATTATATCCTTCTTACATCACATAATTTTAGATTGAGTGGATGCTAGTTTTCTCTTGTTCTTTTTCTGCTTTTGCATAAATAATAATATTTTTCTCCTGCTGTTTATATACTTTGCCGCCTTCCCAAAACGTTGCCCCTCCTTTATATGTCAATCCAATTTTTAATTTAGTTACCGATGTAGAATTGGGATTCCTTTTCCTGCTAGCTTATACTGGGCATGGCAGAAAGAAATCAAAGGGAGAAAATTTATGTTACCTTCCCATTCAACTGCCAATACTCCCAGTCACGAGGACAATTTCTAAGTCAAAGTCTATAATTAATTTTAATTACATATATTATGGTATATTTTACTTTTCATATATTACTTACTCATACTTATAATTAATATATATATATATATATAATTAATTAAATAAAAAATAATAATAATAATAATAAGAAAGAATATTTTATTTCATGAATCTGAACTTTTTGAATTCATAAAAAATGGGGTCATTGTCCTTTGTGCATTTATATCTTGCAATGTTCAGGTTTGTTATTCACTTCACTCTGACTGATCAATAAAGGGAAAATGAAAAAAAAAAAATTTATGCTGTGGGTTAAAATGAGACGTGAGCCTATTTGTTGATATTGACATCTGTTACTCTTGTTCAGGTGATGCATCCAGATTTCAAGAAGGCTAAAGACAAGGTTATGTTCAAGAAGAAAGAAGGTGTTCCAGAAGGGCTCTATATGTGATCATAACCTTGTTCTGTTTGGCCATCAACTCATTTCTCGATTTCTCAAGAACTTTTACAGCTTGTTTGTCTTTTGAACCCTTGGGCTCTTGTTCTTACGGTGATCTTGTGATCATTTATGAAAGATGAAAGTTCCAGGTGTCAAAATTTGCCGATCCAAATAGGCATGGTTAATTTTTCTTATTTCATGAGGTGTCCCTGACCCTTCTTAAGACTCGTACTCCTATGTAATTTACATTGTCAAAAGTTTGCCTGCATCCAATTGCTGTATTGTAGATCATTTGATACTGCAAAGCTCATATATGTTACTTTCCTTGCAATGAAGAATTTCAGTGGAAAAAAAATGCTTAGGTGTGTGCGAAGCTATTATGTCCTATGTGCTTACGAGGAGAAGACTCCAGCATGTCCCATGCCCCGTCAGTGACCATTGGTCTATGGTGACATCTTTCTCACTTCCAGTGTGTAATTACGCTTGTGATGTTAGCATCTTCTTACTATCATTATCGTGGCAACATATCCTTTAGTTGGCACACCAACTTACAAAATGTATGCATTAATGTTCATAAGCAGTGTTCATGTTTCATTAATAGAACGCTATATAGATAAATAAATATAAATTTCCATGTTTATTAAGTCGTTATGAAGGGGGGAATGATAATATTTATGGTCTTGTCCCACCAAAGTAGGGATAGCAAGGGGGCGTGTCAAGGTAGCCTTTTCCGTCTTCCATCCCAACGTTTTGTCCCACCAAAGTAGGGATAGCAAGGGGGCGTGTCAAGGTAGCCTTTTCCGTCTTCCATCTCGTTGGGTATTTTTGTTTCCTTCACTCTCATAGCCCGATTAAGACTGGGTTGGGACAGGATAAGTCACTACAGGGGAGGGATCATGTTCTCCCTACCAGTCCCAATCC